TCTAATTTTGTACAAGGGAGCTCTCGTCAAATCAAGAGGGGGTTCTATAGAGGGAAAAAATCGTTGCTTGTTGTATGCATTTGAGGTCATTGACAACAGCCTTGAACTCCCAGGCGGAAGCCGCGAATGGGATGCGACCGGGTCGGAAGCGGCGTTTGAAGACATCGAGCTATGCAGATATCGAAGCTAAGGCACTCATTGACAAGTCTCAGCTCTTGAAGGTTCCCTCAAGTTTCTTCATATCATGACTTTGCACAGGTTGCATGGATCCTGGGCAAGCCTGGAATATCCGGAGGGAGCGTGGCTGTTAGGATCGAAGAGTTCGCCGGCTCGCCGCAACTTCAGGGCACTTTATCCCGATGTCACTCGTAGCCTTCAACTCTCGCATGGAAGGCAAGAGCCTTCAGCGCCCAATGTTGTGTACTGACATGACGTACCCCTAAGTTTTCCAGGGCACCATATGCCCACTACGTAGGGGCATTGGTGCATATCGACCACAATCCTTGATTATACTTGTGCCGATCATGTTGCCATCAATACCTGAGCAGGATCTACATACTATGGGTCAAAATTAAGCAACCAGGGCACGCAGGTTGTAGTGCTTGGTTCCATTTGGCAGGGTTCCGTTTTGGGTACATAATTTTGACCCACACTTATATTTTGAAGCACACATGAGCATCCAACTGAAGGGCTGGGTTTTTGGATCCTTCGGCTGGCAGGGCCCGCCCCGTCCGTTCGCCCAGGGCTCGCAGAAGACCAAGTGAGCGCGTTTCGCCTGTTGCACATCCCCATGGCTTCCCGGGCTCGGCAACTGGTAAAGCGGGCGGTGGAGTTTCCCGAAGGAAGCCTGGGTTTAGGTCAGACAATGCACGGCCCGCTTTCTCGAGCTTGTGGCTTAGACGAGCGATGAGCATCGCGGTGAAAAGTGGAGTTTGATGCGCAGGGTCGTGTTTGAAGAGTAGTTCCGAGGAGCTGGCGCACGCCTACTCTTTGAGCGACCTCGACAGAATTTGGAATCTGAAAGTTCAGGGTTAAAGGGAAGCCGAAGAGCGCCTGCCATTTTGGGGGTTCCTAAGAGACAAACCCAAAATTGGTGCTGTTGACATTGCCGCTTGCCGTTTTGCTTCAAGTGTGGATCCTGCTGATCCACGCGACCGGATTGGTTTGCATGCGCCCTCGCCTTAGTTTCGCTTGATGTTGAATGGATATTAGGCTTCCAGGCAAATGAGGATGACACTTGGCCAATCTTGGCCAACGGAATGCATGGGATGCAACCATCGCATTTGCCGTTTGAAGACTCTCTCCTGCTGGAACTGGTAGAGGCACCAATAGGGAAAAGTCCAGCAGACGAGAATTGGTTGTTTGCCAGGTTTTTGTTGTTGTTTTGCTGGAACCACATTGCAGCTTTAGGAACAGTGAGACTCGCGGCCTTTTGCGTAGAGGACCACATTTTGGGTGGGTCCGCAAAAGTCTGGGCTGACAAGCATTCTGGGTGTGATTCATGCATTTATTTTGGCAGCTTTGTCTTTTGAAAGAGATAGAGAGATTGCCGTTTCTCGGATCCTCAGCTGGATGCCTTCCCATTCCGCGCTACTGCCATGCGCTGCAAGTCTACCTCCATGGACTTGCATCTCAGAAGCCCAGTTGCCTTGCGGGCAGAGAGTTGTAGGTTCAAACAGAACGCCATGGGTTTCATCACCAGGACGCCTTTTTCCGAATTGACAACGGGATGTCTCCGCGGCTGTCTCCAAGGCCATGGGCGCTGCGTTGGACTGCGCGCCGGCGCCAAAGCGCGAGCAGGCCACATGCTGCATTCGGAACCTCGAATAGGAGCAACGTCTTGCGTATTGCATTCTTTTTTTTTGGCTTGTTTGTTCGGAAGTGACGGAACATGCGCGGAAATGCAAACTGATTCTGTTTTCGCATGTTTCAGGCGGCCCGCTGGGAAATGTTGTGACCATTGCCGGGGCATCGGGGAGAAATACGCAGACGTTTGAGGGAATATACGCGGGAAGTAAACTACGCAGAAATCGGCGGAACCACCAAAGCCGTGTTCCACACCTTTGCAACTGAATAGCATTTCGATTGGACAAAGTTTGAATGATACTCGCATTGGATCGCTTCACTGTTGTTGGCATGTCTTTGTTTGCAGGTCTTTTTTCCAGGTTTTCAGGTTTTTGGGTTCTGTTCATCTTTGGGTGCTGCAAGAAAAGAACCACCACGCCGCGGTTGGCATCTCGGCTAGGCCGCCCCCTCGCGGCCTCAGAAACTCCAGCGGGCCTCCACGCCCAGCGCCCAGCGCCATGTTCCACTTCGCACTGCTTGGTGGCTCCCAGCCGGTTCCTTAGCAGGGCTCCTTAAAAGATCTCCATTTTGCAACCATTTGAAACATGTTGCTTTTTCCACCAAAATAAAGGGAAACCACCATCTACGAGGCAATGTTCAGGTGTGTAATGTAAGGATCCCTGCTTAGCTTTTTAGCCTAGTGTTTAGTGGCAGTTTCCATTTAACCCGCAAGTTAGTCACTTTTAGCGGGGGATCAGAGGGCAGCCCGGATTGACGAAGCCTTTCTAGGTCCGCCAGCTAGGTGCCCTTTCTCACCCCTTTGTTGGTTGGGAGGGTTCCCCTACTAAAACTGACTACAGCAAAAAGTTGGTACCCTTATTCTACCCTCTGTACTGGAGGACCTAGCTTTAACATCCTTCAACATGGTGGTGGGTCAACACCAATAAGATCCCATTTTGGGGTAGGTGCACCACCCATCACCACCCATTTGAGTCTATGTTAGTGGGGGTTGGGATGTTCACGGGGTACGGGGTTTGACCCATGGCCACATCAACCAACGACCAACAGTTGCTCTTGTTTGGTTGTGGCTGCAGGGCTTGTGAGCAACTAGGTCTTAAGGTTGGCGAGTTTGGGAAATTGCCAAGACAAATGGTTGGAATTAGCTCTTGGAATTCCAGTGCTTTGGCCTTCTGGCCTCGTCTCCAGGGATGGAATGATTCCCTACATGCACCCTTGAAATGGCCCCAACGTTGGCAAAGTCACATGAAATGTCTTCCATTGAAATAAAGATTCAAGATGCTAGAGCGGATATTGCCAGGCAGGTCCACTTGGACATGGATCTAGATTTGGGTCTGTCTTTTCTTGACGGGACCCCTTTGTTGCTTGGTGTTCAAGGGAACCTCAAGGAAAACCACCAGTTAGGGTCCAACCTCAAGACACACCCAATATAAAGCAGATCTTCCTTGTCCATGAAGTTCCACAAAGCTGTGTGACGTCTTGAAACACATCGACCGCAAGTGGAGCGCATATAGCTGCGAGTCGTAAAACATGTGAATCCCCGCAAACATGCTTGGTGGACATCAATCTCCATGGAAGTTACGTCTACCAACGGGTGCATGAAGCTCGAAAAGCGGGTGTCCCGCCCCCAACAGGGAATTGTTGAGATCAGGACTAGTGACTAGTTTTGTTTGTTGGTGGGTGGGTGGGTGGGTGGGTTGGTTGGTGGGTGGGTAATTTGGTTGGTTGGTTGGTTGGTTGGTTGGTTGGTTGGTTGGTTGGTTGGTTGAATGGTTTCACGGAACCAAAGGCCCACTGCCAAAGCCCTTTTGCGTCGCGAAGCGAGGCGATGCGCGCTGCTCGGTAGCGCCTTGGCCGTCGCTGGAGTTGCGACTGGCACTGAGGTGGGGTCGGTGGAGTTGGTGGGGCAAGCGGCAAGGGGCGCGTGCAATGGTTGCCGACTGTTGCGGGAAACTATCACTACTGGAAATATTAGTTTTTCTTCCAGGGGACTTAAGCAAATGGATGGTTGCATTTGCATTCTACGAGCTTTAAGGAATTTGCAATCATGACTGCAAATGGCACACACAATGTAACTGATTATGTTTAGAACCGGAAATCATGTTGAAGGAGCTGGGAGCTTTTGCCATATGACACACGGAGGGATCCAGCGATTTTTAGAGCAACCACGTAGCAATCGGCCAAGCCTCCTGGTCTCGCTGATCACCGGCTTTTGTTGGCACCGTTTCAGTCGCAATCTTCGCAGAAATGACGTGTCAATCACCAGCGCCTCAAAGCGCAAGTGCTTATCACTGGTTTGAACCTTCAGACTGGCCCCAGGGAAGCCCGCTGGATGTTTGCTTCCATATTTGCTCAGCGGGTTGATCAAAGGGTCCCATGCCGTGGGATGACCATTGGGGAGGGCGACAAAACGAAGACTTTCACCACGTGGGAGTTACCCACGGTCACTTTGTCGCCAGGAATATGTCGACAAGCGTACCCTTTCATAAAAGGATCGGGCGCAAGATGAAAAGTAATACAAAGAGCAGCAGACAGGAGAATTACGAGCATCGGATACTCATGCAAATTTGTATAGAACCCAAAAAGGGGGCGGGGTCCGCACAAGGACTTTCCCTTCGACTGTTCAGTTGTTATAAGACAGCCCCGGGCGGCAGACCTCTGGGTTTTCCTTGCTACCTCAGGGGTTCCCTGGAGACCCAGCCGATACCCCCAGGCAACAGCAAAAGCAAAAGTGGCCTCCTTTGAGTCCAACGGTTGGCATTTGTTGAGCGCATGCGACCAAACCCATGAAGGGATGACTTGCCGAATCATTTCTTAGGGTTCCTGACTCGATTCGGATCTGGTATTCGGGTGATGTTTTCGTGGCCTAAATGCATCCTTGAAGCTTGATGGCGTGAGCGTGAATTGTCCCATTGCTTACCGGAGGGCGCCTTTTTCTGAGAGCGGCCGGTGGTGGGGATGCGCATTGGAGACGTCCCCGTGAGAGGCCCGTCGTTTTTGTAATTTGTCCATTGCTTGCAGGGGGCGCTTTGTGTGGGGGGTGTTGGGGGTGTGTTTTTTCTTCCAAAAACAATGTCCACTGCTTTCAGGGGGGGGGGGGGCGCTTTTTTGGGCCGGAAAGCTGAAGGGATCAACTCAAGACTCGTCAGACTGAGCTGGCGGCTGTCGCGCTCATCGTGCTGTCCTTGGGCTTAGAGGCGCGGACTCTGGGTGAACCCCCCAACCCCCGGTCTGATGTGCCAGGTTTGGAAGTTCTTTTCGGAGGTTCCCACAAGTTCTTCAAAGTCAACTACCAAAGGAGCCTCCCAGTGCTGTTCTGCCGCATTTTTTTTGGGGGGGGGTTCTGCCCAGAGAGGCTCCTTTGAGTGGATCGGAGCAGCTCCGGGCTAGGGGTCTGTTGAGGATACCACCTGGGCTTTGCAGGGGGAGTCCTTACCAAAGAAACTGCACGCATTCCGCATTTTGGCACGTGGAAATCCGCTGGATGTGGGGCGCACAAGGATTCAATTGTTTCATTGACTTCTTGCGATGCGAGTTTGGATGGTTGGCTGGCTGGCTGGCTGGCTGGTCGGTCGGTCGGTCGGTTGGTTGCTGTGTGTGTGTGTGTGTGCGGAGTGACAGAATGCCCTGTCACCACCCTTTCGGTTTCTCAGCAGGGGGGTCACCCGCAGTCACGACCGGTGACCCAACGAAGAGGGTCGTGACCTGCGCTGATATCTGACCTGATCAGTCAGACGTACCTGCCGAGATGGTTGTGTTGTTCTGAATGTCCTTTTGGTCCCCCCCTGAACTGCCGTTGCTTCTGTGTGTCCCTGTTAAAGTAACTACAGGGAAGCCAAGCGTTATGCGAGTCGAACCTCATCATACTCGAGACTTATCAGTTGTACTCGAGACTCATCAGTTGTACTCGAAAGATTAGCACTCTCCATTTGGAGTTTAAGTGTGTACACCCCATTCGTGGGGAATCCTCGGGTGTACCCATTGTGTGACCCCGGGCCGGCTCTGTCGGAAAATTTGACCTCAACGTGCTTATCATAGAACAGCGGAATTTCACATTTAACCAGGAACGAGGTTTCACTAAAGGGAAGACAGCGGTCAGATCATAGAGACGTCTCACCACTGATGTTTGCGTTTGCTTGCCATTTGTTGGATTCGTTGATACCTTGCCGTTGCATGGATTTGCTTGTTGTCTGATACGTGTCTCTCAAGATGGAAGCGTGAAGATTGAGAGTCGATTGTGTAACCATGTCTCGACGTGATGATCGTGATAGATCCAGGACTCGGCGCAGACGTGATCGGAGTACTTCTCCTCAGGCTCGTAAAGCACACCGACGTGAACACAATGACCACCACGTCTCGGAAGGCATGGATTGGAACAACCTGGTATCTTGGCAACACAATTCCGGCTACAACTCTGCCAACAATTTCCCGATGATGCCCACCAATTTTCAATCGACTCATAGTCCCACACAGCAATTCCAACATCCAGCAATCAACTACATGATGCCGATCCCTCCAGACCCCACGCCAACGAAGTTCATGCCACCCGTGATGCCACCACCGGTCACTACCCCGCAACCTACACCGCCACCTGGACCTCCTGCGGCTCTACCGGTTCGTCCTCAGAAAGCCTGGCTTACACCATCGCCTGACTGGACACCTGGAGAGGGCATGTTTGATGTCAATCAGCTCTACAACTTCAGCCTGCCCATGACCGTTGCCAACACTCCGCATGGCAACCTGCGCGACATGTCAGGCATGGATATTCGTGACGTTCGCCTGGTTCAGGTTATTCATGGGGGCCTCACCAACTGGCTGCTCCGACCGTTCGCTCACGGCAGATTCGTGACATGGGAAGGCTTTCGCACTCGCACCGAGGCCTTACTTTGGAGTACCTGTTCCAAACTACTACGACGATCACAGTCGATCAACCTGCTCACCCTGGAAAAGGACCTTGCCAACTCGCTGGGTCTCAACATCGATGACTTCAATCAGCGGATCAAGGTTCATGACCATTTGGCCAGCTTGGTACTTCAATTTCTTCAGCAACACCACGCTTCTCTCACACCTTCCACCCAGACAGATGACATGGTCAAGAAGTACAATGATCTAAATCGTGCGCATGAGCTGCTCCAGGCTCAGTATTCAGCATCGCTGCGCGCTTCGACCTCTCCCACGATGGCAAGCCAGAAAGATGATGCAGAGTTGGTTACACCGCCACCGGTCAACCACACACAATCCTCGTCACCTGCCAGCTCCCTCCCTACAGTCAGCGCAGCGGCCCTTGATGGCAAGTCGTTTGATAGCGCGGTGCAACCCCGGATCATTCAGTCTCTTCACGGAGTGTCTTCACCGCCGTCCAAGCCGGCGGCGTCACAATTGCTCACCATGCACAGCACGCCGGAAGAAGTTGTCAAGTACTACACATGGACCAGTGACCAGCCACGCCTTTATCTCAAGCAATCGCCCACAACCACGACTTTGACGTCACTGGTCAAGTGGGCCAATCACCCGTCCCGGCTCAACGGCAACAAGTCATTAGATTCCATGGCGACGCAGCTCCTTCAAGCGCGTCAACGCATGCCGAAAGGCGACGCACCTACTCTCGGGGCGATGGCGGCTTCGTGGGGACTGGAGCCCGGCTATCTCACCAAGCTCACTGAGAAGGCATTGAGTCACCTCATCGTGACCGCTCGCTTACTCAGCGGATGAGCAGGCATCTTAACGACCTTCGTTCTCTTATGAGCCCGGAGCGGCAACCGTGTCACGGATGAGTCAAGGTTAAAACTCGTCCGTCATCTTTTTGCGTTGCATCAGTTTGATCTTGTGCTTGGTTGTGCTTGCATTGCCTTGTGCGTGATTGTCTGTGCAGCTTGTATCCATGTCGCCGCCTTATGGTAGATTTCATTGGTTGCATTTTCACCATGTTGGATGAGCTTCGCCGCTGTGGAATCTATGATGATGTTGCACAATGGCAGTCTCTGGGCAACTTTTTACACTCGTTGACCATGTTCTCTACGTGCTGGCAATACTGCTTCCCTGGACTACCACCACCGTCGATACCAGCTGATGAGTACGAATCAATCACACAACTACCGTGGTTGGGCCTCATTCTGGAAGTCTTAGTTGTGGTCCGGATTGCCCTTCAGATTCCGAATCACGCTATGTCACACTCTCAACACACTGTGGCCAACAGGTATGAGATTCATAGATGTCGGTGCACTGCCTATTTATTGATCAGTTTCTTACAACGTCTCATTTCCCAAGATCATGGCTACTTTCCGCCGTTCTTTGAAGTCCTTCACTTCTACAAGGCTTCTCTCTTGTGTGAAATTATGCACTCCACTTTTGCCGACACGCGACATCTTCGCTCATTGCGGGCACGATTTCCGGACCTCTATGACTTCATTCACGATCCAGGTCATCATCAACAACCGTGCGTCTACATCCGACTTTCCCCATGGCACACACCTTACTACGTTGGTGCGACTGATCAGGATGTTCTACGACGTGAACACTCACGCAGTCGCAAATTTCTACAACTACTTCGGGGACGTCATGCCTTCTTCGAACCCGCGCTTCACTACTGGAAGCGATCCAATACTTACTGGCTCTTCTGTGCTGTTCCGGTTGAGATCAAACTTCCCGTTTCCTCGGTTTGGGTCCAGGAAAGCAAATGGCAATACCTGCTACGCCCGCATTTGAATGCACCCTGGGTACACAGACTTCTGCGAAAGGTGGGCTTCCGGGAACACCTCGTTGATTTTCGACGTCACTCGTTGTCGTCTCCCACTTCCCTCGGCTTGCACAAACGCTTTCGACGACGACTACATCCGGATCTTCAACGGCAACTACGTCCCGACATGCTGGATGACATTCAGGCCCATTACTCTATTCTCTATCAGCTGGGATCCAATACAGGTGCATCGTTCCAAGCCATGCGTGACCTTCTGTCGGCAGCTTTCCCTCCTACTCAGCTTTACTACTTTCTGCGGCTCTCCGTCTTTGTCAACGAGCCCTTCCGCTCCAAGGCGCAGAAACTCCTCGCCCAGGTGTTACGCAAACGACAGCTACAATCACCCACCACTTTGACACAACTACTCCTACCGCCTCTACATGTCCGGAATTGGAAAGCTCTACTTGGCACATGGTTACAAAGCTGGATTGCTTCTCATCGTGATTTGTTTCCCTCCCTTTTCCTTCCAAAGATCCGGGTGGTGGAAACTCGCAGTGCCACGTTGGGCGACAAGATCTACAACTACCGCACATGGCAGCGCAGATGGACTCCTGAAACATCCTTTCCGTGTCGCTGTTTGGACATCGATGATCACCATATACACCGAGCACATGGACATGCTGTAATGGTTGATGAGTTCTCACGCATCAATGCGGACATTGACATGGAAATCATGGCCGCATCAATGAAGGATCAGTATTTCGGTGATGTCGACTTGTTACATCAACGTTTCACCACGCAACTTCGCAAACTTGCTCGTCGCTGGCATGTGCATGGTTCCAGTCTTCTTGTTGATCTGCAGCCGGTTTTGACTCAGTTGATGGACACTCATCGAGCTAACCTTCAAGATCGTGCTTATTGGTCATCGACATCGTTGCAGCGCACCGTGGCTTCTCTGTCATCGTGGGTTGTAATCCCCGCGGATCATTTCCCCTCCCGCGCACATGTGATTTGTCCGTCCCTGTTTGCCATACTGATGCGGAAGACCTTTTGCTCGGGAGATGTCTTTTCGCTATGCCGTGAATCCGCAGCATCTTTTCGCTCTGAAGTGGTGACTACGGTACCTTCCCTCCTACGTCAGCGATATGCATGGGGACTTCGACTTCAAGCACCGTTGCCCACAGCTCGCATCCTTCCAAAGCCGACCAAGGACTGGCAGAAAGCACGACCCATCATTTCATTCTTTCGCACGTGGGCAGCTCCCTTCCTCACGGTCTTCGGCGCCCTCATATTTGAACTTACCAAAGCTACTTTTCCCGACATTGCAGGTCAACTTTCAGTACAAGAACTTGTCCAGCAGCTGTGGGAGTCGCTGTCAAAGGCAGATCCCGATGAATACATCCACCTGGTGTCACAAGACCTGTCAGGCTTCTTCACGTCCATTCCTACGGAACGCTTCCACCAGGCACTACAGTGCTTCTCCATCGGTACGATCAAGTTGTTGGCCTTCGCAGATCCTCT